CGGCACAAAGAAGAAGAAGAAGAAGAAGAAGAAGAAGAAGAAGAAGAAGAAGAAGAAGAAGAAGAAGAATGAGTTTGAGTAAATGGGTAGCAGAACAAGGTTTAGGAGAGATAATAAAAAGACAAAATTTATTAAAAGCTACAAAGGACAGGAAATTGTGGAGAGCCATGATCACCAATGTCCTGAAGGGACATGACACATAGAAGAAGAAGAATGAGTTTGAGTAAATGGATGACGGACCAAGGTTTAGGAGAGATAAGAAAAAGACAAAATTTATTAAGAGCTACAAAGGAGAGGAAATTATGGAGAGCCATGATCACCAATGTCCTGAAGTTTCACAGCACATAGAAGAAGAAGAATGAGTTTGAGTAAATGGATGACGGACCAAGGTTTAGGAGAGATAACAAAAGACAAAATTTATTAAGAGCTACAAAGGAGAGGAAATTGTGGAGAGCCATGATCACCAATGCCCTGAAGCTTCACAGCACATAGAAGAAGAAGAATGAGTTTGAGTAAATGGATGATGGAACAAATTTTAGGCGAGATAACAAAAAGACAAAATTTATTATGAGCTTCAAAGGACAGGAAATTGTGGAGAGCCATGATTGTCAACGTCATTATAAGAGATACGGCACATAGAAGAAGAAGAAGAAGAAGAAGAAGAAGAAGAAGAAGAAGAAGAATGAACTCGAGTAAATAGATGGCGGAACAAGGTTTAGTTAAGATGATAAAAAGATAAAATTTATTATATATTATATTTATTTATATAAGGAAAGGACATTGTGGAGAGCCATGATCGCCAAATTTCTGAAAGGGACACAAGAATAAGAATATCTATCCATCTATGAGTTTATTTACTATTTATGACACAACAATTTAGATATACACCTCCCCCAAATCTGGATGGCCAGAAACTAGCAGCTCATCTCTTCTCTGACCTCTGACCTAGGCCAGGTGGCACAATACGGAAAAGACGAGCTTGTAAGACTCAACACGCTCAAAACGAAACAAGTCACGTCTTCCACCCCCATACCAACCAGGCCCTAAACTTTCACCTATCATGATGGATGGGTGTCCTCTCAAAGAGATTCCACGTGTTAAACGTCTATTGGGATATAAGCTCATCACAGACTTAAAAAAACACAGGAAAAATAACGGTTGCTTCATAGTACCGCTCCAGACACGTGGGTGCTTATGTGGGTGAGATCCGACCTACGTCGAAAATCAAGTTACGTCGCATCGTAGGAACGGATCTTTTAATATATAGCAATTACATGCAATATATCAAAAGAAAATCTAATTTTTCTTTTAAAAAATGTTTTAGAAAAACATTTAGAGAAAAAAAATATTGAAATAGCTTTCTTTTGAAAGACTTTTTAAAAATAATATTCACCCTAGACAAATCTTAAGATCCACTCAAAGTAAGTAAAGCGTTATTATTATTTTACGAGCGGTAAGAGGTAAGAGACACAGTTGTTGAGGATATGTGGGAAAGACAACAGGTAACGGTACACAGGCTAAGAGTGTCGTGGTCAGGAAAGCAACCTCTTGGGAGTTGGTTTGGGGAAGAGGCTGTTTGAGGGCGATTCCCCTCAGTGTATGCTAAAAAAAGGAGTTTATCTCCATGTATGATTTTATTATATCTTTTTTTATATTAAGAGCCACTCAAGGTAGAGGGTTACATTATGGTGTTCTATTATCGTAAGAAAGGGCAGGAAGTGAAGTCCATGGGGCTATGCAGAAATCAAGATTTAATTAAGGAATAACATTTCAGTCGGAGACATTAGAAGTAATAAAGTACAATTAGATTTTATCAGAAACTTAATCCTAAGCAAGAGATAAAACTCTACTCCTGTTGAAAAGACTGGAGAGGAGTGTGAACCGGGCGATAGACGAACCTATCTACTCCTATTGAGAGAGAAGAAAAAAATAATTAGTTAATGAAATTTCAGAGTTCAGTCAGAGAGGTTAGAGGAAGAGAGCTGAAGTAGACTTTAGAAGAATACGGAAACCCAATCTTAAACATGAAACAACGAATAAACCTCTACCCCTGTTCAAAAGACCGGGAAGGAGTGTGAACCGGACGATCTTAATTTGTTCATATCTATCTATCTATCTATCTATCTATCTATCTATCTATCTTATTCTGTTCATATCTATCTTATTCTGTTCATATTCATCATATCTATCTATCTATCTATCTATCTATCTATCTATCTATCTATCTATCTATCTATCTTTTCATTTTCTATCTATCTATCTATCTATCTATCTATCTACTTCACTCTGCACATTATCTATCTATCTATCTATTATCTATCTATCTATCTATCTATCTATCTATCTCTTCATTTTCTTTCTATCTATCTATCTATCTATCTATCTATCTATCTATCTACTTCACTCTGCACATTATCTATCTATCTATCTCTTCATTTTCTATCTATCTATCTATCTATCTATCTATCTATCTATCTATCTATCTATCTTTCTATCTATCTCTTATTTTATCTATCTATCTATCTATCTATCTATCTATCTATCTATCTACTTCACTCTGCACATTATCTATCTATCTATCTATCTATCTATCTATTGAATTAAACCAAAATATAAAAAAAAGAAACAATATATATATATATATATATATATATATATATATATATATATATATAGAGAGAGAGAGAGAGAGAGAGAGAAGGCTAGATGTTGAATGAAATCGAGAGAGAAGGTAAGTAGTTGAAGGAGGGAGGAGAGTGCAAAAAATAGTGAATGGGCCGAAGGAAACAGAGAGAGCCAGGGAGAGAGGAGATTGTGAAAGCAAGAAATTGAATGATAGATAAAGATGTGTTTGGTAATCCATATATATATATATATATATAAATAATGTATTTTTATTGCTCCAACAAATTTTTGTATCTCTTCAAACGTTATTGGGGGCGAAAATTTTTCTTTAATAAGATTACTTGAATATTTAAGCCGGTAGGTAAAAATAAGTAAATTTACCGTTTAAATAGATAAACGGAGCGCCTACTCAGATGCGAATATCCCCTAAAAATAACATTTAGAGGAAAAATAGATAGATAGATAGATAGATAGATAGAGAGAGAGAGAGAGAGAGGAAAAAACTTCCCTATAAACTATAAAGTAAAAAAAAAAATAGAAGCTCACATAAGGGAGAGAAATCAACGTGAGTTAGCAATAGAGATAGAGAGAGGGTATGAAAGAGAGGGGGAGAGAAAAATGGGCGTTGGTAAGATGGAAATAGGGTTAGGGTGACTCAAAGACAATCTAAACTGTCGCAGCTGGTCATCAGAGCAATCGAGACCGCCTCCCCTCTAACTTTTGACCGACGCCAGTCCTGAGGCAAGGGATCGAAAGCAGTATTGAGGCAAGTGCAAGATATTAAAAAGGGTAGGCGATCATGGCTAGGGGCCAATTTCGGCTAGTTTCCTAGGGTCCCCGTTGTGTCTAGCTCGACCATCAGGGATCATCCGAAGTTGAGCCCAAGAAGAGGAGGCGGTAGGTAGGTAGTTAGGTAGGGAGCTGCCGGCGTTGAACAGAATTTGACTCAGAAGAGTGAATTTAAGTGTCAATTTTAGGCGAGTCAAGATGAGTTCCTTCGTTCGTCAGGTTCCAATTCCGATGAGTAATCAAAGTCGAAGAACATGTCCAGGCAGAGAGCAATGTTGGCGGGAAATAAAAACGAGGCCAAAAACAATAATAAAAAAAACAAAACAGAAAAAAGATTAACGAGGAAGGAAGTGTTATAAAAAAATGGTATCGTGTCCAAGTTGATTTTTAGAGAGTGCGAAATGGATGAATCATTTTGAGTTTACCGTAAAACATGCCGAAGTGAAGAAAAGGAATGTGACATAAAGGCAGATTTCATGAAAAAGACGGGAAAAGAGAAGGAAAAAGAGAAGAAGAAAGAAAGGAAGAGGAATAAAAAAAGGAAGAAGAGAAAGAAAGAAAATTACGATAAAAAAGAAAAAGAAAGGGCATGAAAGAAAGACTGTAAAGAAAAAGGCATGAAAAAAGAAAAAAAAGAAGGAAAAGAAAAGAAAGGAAAAAGAAAATAAAGAAAGAAAGGAAGAGAAAGTGAAGAGAAAAGAAAGAAAAAAGCAAGGAAAAAAGGAAAAGAAAAGAAAGAAAGAAGTGAATAAAAGAAGCGATTAAATAATGAGGAAGGCGAAGAAAAAAGAATAAAGAAAGAAAGAAGAAAGAAAAGGGTAGAATAAATAAAGAGATAAAGAGGCGAAGAAAGAGAAACAGAAGAGAAAAATAGAGTAAAAAAAAAAACAAAGAAAAAAGACAAGGAAAAGAAAGAAAGAGTAAAAGAAAAGAAAGGATGAAAGAGAAAAAGAAGAGAAGGAAAGAAGAGAAAAAGGAGCAGAAAAATGCAAAAAAGACAGAGAAGAAAGAAAGAGAAAAAGAAAGAGAATATAATAAAAAAGAAGCGAATATATAAATAAGTAAAGAAAAAAGAATGAGAAAATGATGAGGGAAAGAAAAAGAACTAAGACGAGAACAAAGAAAGAAAGAAAGAAAAAGAGGAGAGAAAGAGAGGAAATAAAAGGAATGAAAAACTTGTAAGAAATAAAAACGAAGTAAGTTAAAAAAAAGAATGTGGAATCAAATAAAGCAAAGAAAGAAAAAAAGAAAGAAAGAATGAACGAAAAAGAGAAAAGTAAAAAAAAAAGTAAAAGAAACAATGAAATATAATACGTCATGACAATTTGTATATTTTTGGTAGTAACATTTTGTTGTTTCTGACTTTCGCACCGGCAGGTGGCAGTGTCTTTGTTAGGAGAATGGTGCTTCAAGACCTTTACGAAATCCGGAGGTGAAAAGACCGACTCCGTGAAAGAGTAAACGACAACGATATAAAAGATTGGCGTATAAAAAACATAATAAGAGCAAGGAATTATTCGAATATCAATTTCACAAAAAGGAATCATTACTTCTGACAGCATGGCTAAAGAAGATGGAAGATGGCGTCAATAGAAAGAAAGGAAAGAAAGAAAGAAAGAAAGAAGAATATTCGTTAAAAAAGAAAGAATAAAAGAATAACGGAGAATAAAAGAAAGGAAGAAAGAAGAATAAAAGAGGGAAAAAAAAAGAAGGAAAAGAAAGAAAGAAAGAAAAAAAAGAAAGAAAGAAAGTGACGAAAGAAAACAGAAAGAAAGAAAGAAAGAACTGTGGCAAAAGAAATCAAGCAAGAAAGAAAGAAAAAAAAGAATAGACGAAAGAAAGACGAAAGAAAGAAAGAAAGAACTGTGGCAAAAGAAAGAAAGAAAGAAAAAGAAAAGAAAACTGTGGCAGTGAAAAGAAAGACAAGCAAGAAAGAAAAGAAAGAAAAGCAAAAAGAAAAGAAAGAAAGAAAGAAAGAAAGAAAGAAAAGAAAGAAAGAAAGAAAGAAAGAATAATGAAAAGAAAGAAGCAAGAAAAGAGAAAAGAAAAAAAGAAAGAAAGAAAAAAAAAAAGAAAAAAGCAAATGAAAGAAAGAAAGAAAAAAGAAAAAGAAAGAAAGAATATTCTTGAAAAAAGAAAGAATAAAAGAATAAAGGAGAATAAAAGAAAGGAAGAAAGAATAGTTGGTGTAAAAGAAGGAAAAAAAGACAGAAGCGAAAAGAAAGAAAGAAAGAATAGTGACGAAAGAAAGACAGAAAGAAAGAAAAGAAAGAACTGTGGCAAAAGAAAGAAAGAAAGAAAGAAAGAAAGAAAGAAAGAAAGAAAGAATAGTGACGAAAGAAAGACAGAAAGAAAGAAAAGAAAGAACTGTGGCAAAAGAAAGCAAGCAAGAAAGAAAGAAAGAAAGAAAGAAAGAAAGAAAGAAAGAAAGAATAAAATGAAAAAAGGATTCTTGAAAAAAGAAAGAAAAAAAAGAAGAAAAAGAAAAAAAAAGGAAAAGAATAAAAGAAAAAAAAAAAAAAAAGAAAGAAAGAAATGAAAAAAAAAGAAAGAATTGGAGAATAAAAGAAAGGAAGAAAGAATAGTTGGTGTAAAAGAAGGAAAAAAAGACAGAAGCGAAAAGAAAGAAAGAAAGAATAGTGACTAGAGAAAGAAAGAATGGTGATGAAAAAAGAAAGAAAGAAAGAATTGTGGAGAAAGAAAGCAAGGAAGCAAGAGAGAAAGAAAGAAAAAAAAGAAAGAATGAAAAAGCGTTAATAAGAATGAATTCAAAGAAGTTTAAATGAAATAAAATAAATGAGGTGAGAAGTGGAAAGAAAAAGAAGGAAAAAAAATTATGTAGGAATGAAGATAAAAATTTATCTTTATTTTTTTTTTTTAAGCATTTTCACCCCAAGCCACTAGGACGCAAGGGGTTACAGAAAATAGGAAGATCAGATAGGAGTGATAGAAGAAAGGATGAGGGTAGTAGATAGATCAAGGCAACAGGATATGTCGATTGACATTACACTTGAATAGCTGGAGATTATAACTCACAGGGAAACAGGAGAAGGGAAGAGAGTTCCACAGGCGAGAGGTGCGAGACATGAAGCTATTAGAGTAGAAGAGACGGCTACATTTAGGAGTTTCGACAGTGAAGGGGTGAGAGCGGGATGCCAGCCTCGTAGGGCGCTTGAACTCATGAAGTCTGGGAACCAGCGAATGCAGCTCCTCGGAGCAATTGCCATGAAAGTATTTGTAGAACAGACAGAGGGAGGCGACGGTGCGTCTGTGAGAAAGTGACTGTAGACGAGACGCCATGCAGGGCCAACTACATTGCATATCCGCTTCTGGAGCCTATCAAGAACCCCGAGGCAAACAGAAGGGGCTCCAGACCATATATGAAAGAAAGAATGAAATAGAAACGAAAATGAAAGAGAAAAAAAAAAGAGAATTAGAAAGGAGTGAGATGAAAGAAAAGTAAAAAGAAATAAAAAAAGGGGATAAGAAGAGAAGCGAGAAAGAAAGAACAAAGGGAGTAAAGAAAAGAAAAAGTCTTCATTGAACTGTGATAGATCACGTGACTGAGATAGTCGCATATTTGGATTGTCGGGTTTTAAACAGAGGTAGACATTTCGAATGTTGATTTTCAAGGCAGGCAAACACAATTTTCGTCCCCGTCTCAAATCGTTCAATTAAACATGGCCTTGTGCCTTGCTAAGTTAATGTTACTTATTTTCATATACACATTAAAGTGATTGCTTTGTGATTAAAAAAGTTAAACATTTAACTAGGGTCTCCCCTCTTGGAAATCTAACGCAACACAGTCTTCCTTTGTGCTTCATTTCGCTCTCCTGTATTTGATTGGCCTTATCTGAGTCTGGCACAAGGCCGCAATATTAGAGCACCCATCGTTCTGCTCTATTTGATTGGCCTTATGTTTACATCTGGTTAGAGGCCGACAATGCTCCAAGTCATGCTGACAATGAAAGTAGTCTGGCACAAGGCCACAATATTAGAGCACCCATCCTCTTGCTCTATTTAATTAGCCTCATCTGAGTTTGGCACAAGGCCGCAATATTAGAGCACCCATCGTCCTTCTCTATTTGATTGGCTTTATCTGAATCTGGCACAAAGCCACAATATTACAGCATCCATCGTCCTGCTCTATTTGATCGACCTTATCTGAGTCTGGCACAAGGCAACAATATTGGAGTTCAAACTAAACGAATGTATACGTAAAAATCTAAGCGAATAGAGTGAATTGAATGTGGTCAGTTGGTTGTGTATGCTATTCGCTACTTGCATTGTCAGCATGACTTGGAGAAATCGAAAACCATTGAGTAAGAAAAGAAATCAATGTCACGCGGATGTGGGGGGGTCGGGTTGGCTGTCTTCACCGTCAGACAAGATTTTATGACTTGGTTCACCGGTCACTAAATACAGATCATTAGAGAAGCGGCCTACGCGAATTTTAAAACGCTACGTGTGCATTGAAAGCTGATTTTTTTAAAATGTATCACCCCAAGCAAAGTACTAAAGCCACTAAGACACAAGGGGTTACTGGGTGTGGAAGAATTAGGAACAGAAACATTAATAATGAGCGGGAAGAGGAAAGAGTAATCAGGAAGACACTAGATAGCGATTGACGTTGCATTTAAATATTTGAAGAATAAAGTTGGCCGGAAAGTATGGAGCCGGAAGGGAGTTACACAAGCGAGGAGTGCGAGAGAAGAAACTGTTAGCATAGAACTTACGATTACATCTAACCAGCTCAACTGTAAATTGATGAGATCGACATCAGCCTAGTACTGCGCTTAAATTCAAAAACTCTAGGTACCATAGTGAAGAGCTCATTGAAACAATTGCCATGAAGGTATTTATAGAAAGCAAACAGAGAGGCGACGGTGGGAAAGTGACTGAAGCCGAGCCAACAGATCAGGACCTTTAATATTGCTGATTCTTCTTTGGATTTTTTTCAAGGTGTCCAAGGTAAATAGCAGGATTGCACGACACAGTGAACCAACTTTCTTAGTGGCTGACCTAGCAATAGATTCAGTCGAGTCTTATAGCAACAGTGTTCAGAACACGATCTTCAGAAAGACTGAATGTTAGTTTTTTAATGCGTTTTCTCTTTGTGGAACGATTATATTGAACCAGTTCCTCTGTTTCTTACTACAAAGGTTGTATTACTATGTTAAACCAGACAGTTCTTCGCAGCAGCAATTACATGGCACATTTATAAGTCTCCCACTTCTTGTTTGGTGCTTTTTCTCTGTATTTATAGATTCTTGATAAAATCCTAAGAAGAATCGGCCCGAACCTGGCATCTCGACTTCAGTCACTTTCCCAGTGCCGTATGATAGCTTCTCTGTGCGTTTTCTATAAATAATTTTCACGTAATTGTTCTGGTGAGCATTGTTCTTTGGTATCGATACTACAACAATTTAAACACGGTACTAGCTTGGCAGCTAGATCTCACAATTTCACCGTTTCATATCCCCCGTTATTCATGTGTGGAACTCACTTCCGGCTTCTTACAACCACGATCTTGGAGTGGTGCTTCTGATATATATTTAGAGATTCTTGATAAAATACAAAGAATCTGCAATGTTATTGGTCCTAACTTGGCATCTGAGCTTCTGTCACTTTCCCATTGCCGTAATGTAGTTTTTTTTAATAAATACTTTCATGGTAATTATTCTGATATTGCTAGATTTTTCCTCCCTCCCAACCCGGAAAATTTGATGTATGGGAACTAGTTAGGACTTCATAGAGACTACGAGGTATTATGTTGGCTGTAGTAAGAATGGTAAGTAAGAATGTATTGTTTTGGTATAAGGAATACTATGATATGTTTCGATAAGTAATCGTGGCTAGCTAAGTTTAAGATAAGAACGACTGAAAACCAGCTTTTCACCATCCCCCACTTTTGTCCTTGTGCCACATGTTTGTATTAAAACAAAATAAATATTGCTTTCCGCTTTGTACACGTGGGAACTAGTTAGGACTACATAGAGACTCAGAGGTATTATGGTAACTGTAGTAAGAATGGTAAGTAAGAATATGTTGTTTTGGTGTAAGGAATACTGTGATATTTTTGGTCAGTGACTGTGGCTAACTAAGTTTAATTATAAAACAGAAGACTAGCCTTCCCCACCCTCTTTTTGGCTTTCTGTCAGAATTTTTTTATTTTACAAAATAAATATCGCTCTTCGCCATGGTATGCAGACTTTATGAATTTAAGCCTAGACTGGCGATGAGGTCTCACCAATATAGAGTTAAGTTGGCTAGATGTAACCGTAAGTTCTATGCTAACAGTTTCTTTTCTCACACTTCTCTCTTGTGGAATTCCCTTCCGGCTGCATGTTTTTCAGTCAACTTTAATCTTCATAAAGTTAAATGTAATGTCAATCGTTTCCTTCTGTCTACTTGATTACTCTTCTTTTGTTCTTGCTCGTTAGTAAAACTGTTTGTTTACTAACTCTTCCTCACTCAGTAACCGATAGTGTCTTAGTGGCTTTTCTGACATGCTTGGGATAAATTCAATTAGAAAAATCAACAAACATTGTAATATTCATTGGAGTTGCATTTTGTAAATGTTCTTATTTTTATCCTCCACCTAGTGACAAATTGTACATATGGGAACGAATTATGGTTACATAGAGACCTGAGGTATTATGGTGACTGTAGTTAGAATGGTAAGTAAAAATGTGTTGTTTTGGTGTAAGGAATACTGTCATGTGTTTAGGTCAGTAATCGTGTCTAGCTAAGTTTAAGATAAGACAGATTGAAGACCAGCCTTCCTCTATTTCCCCTCTGGCCTTGTGCCACATTTTTGTATTTGAAAAATAAATATTACTTTCCTCTATGGTAGCTAGACATTATGAATTTAAGCTAAGTACTAGATTGGCGGCAAGGTCTCATCATTTTACAGTTGAAATGGTAGCTAGATGTAACCGTAGGTTCTATGCTAATAGTTTCTTCCATCGCATTTCGCGTTTGTAGAAATCTCTTCCAGATTTTTGCTTTCCTGTCAAATTTGATATTCAAAAATTTAAATGCAATATTAATTATCATCTTTTGTCTTATTGAATCCTGTTTTAGTGTCCTTTCTCCTATAGAAGGTAGCGAAGGAAAGCTAGAAGAAAGGACTAATCATAAACTACAAGAAGACAGAATCCATGATTATCAGCAAAAAGATGAGCCCAAATTGCAATTTACACGTCGGGGACTCTAAAATGAAGCAGTTACAGAAATTTAAATATCTGGGAAGTGTTTTAATAGAGGATGGAAAGTGCGACACTGAGTTACGAAGACGTATTGGGATGACCAAAGACGTATTCCAAAAGCTAAGCAGAGTATTACGAGACAGGAAAATTTCGTTAGTGTTGTGGTAGAATCCACCTAATTTGCATAGTGAAGTACCGACCATATAAATATGGCTGGTACCGGGAAGAGAGGGAGGAATCAAGAGATTCAACCAGAGACTCTGCCCGACTGCGACTCAGTCAACACATTCTCCAGGAACGGTCTTACCAGGAATATACAAAAGACTATATGTAAATATTGTGTACACTTTCTTGTTTCAATACATTTTGTTCTAAGTACATTTTGTGTTGTATTATTATTCCATGCATTAGTCAAGTTTCAACAGTTAGAAACAAGGAAAAGTGTACTAAACTGTTACGTGATATCTGTCTTCCTGTATGGCGGCGAATGCTGGATAATCTCAAAGATGAAGAAGAGACTCGATGCAACAGACTTGTGGTTCGACAGAAGGATGATGAGGATACCATGGACCGAACATGTGAGCAACGACAAAGTTTTGGAGAGAATGGAAACAAAGTAGAAAGTTATACTTAACATCAGGAAGAGGTAGCTGAAATTTCTGGGTCATGTAATGAGGAAGGAGGGCTTGGAAAATTTGATACTCATAGGATGGATAGATGAAAAGATGATCAAGGAAAAGCAACGTGTAACATGGGCTTGAACAGGGTCGGGGAGAAATAACAAAAAGACAAAACTTAGTAAGTGCTACAATGGAGAGGAAGGTGTGGACGGTCATGATCACCTACGTCCTGAAGGGACACAGCACATAAAAGAAAGAAGAAGTCAATCTGAGGGATTATAATATTAAATGGCAGTCCTGCACCATTCTTGCTGTACAGGACATATTATTCATAAACCATATCCAATAAATCTATCTATCTATCTATCTATCTATCTATCTATCTATCTATCTATCGCAGGCTATTCACATCTATCTATCTATCTATCTATATCTATCTAGCGCAGGCTATTCACATCTATCTATCTATCTATCACAGGTTATTTACATCTATCTATCTATCTATCTATCTATCTATCTATCTATCTATCTATCTATCACAGGTTATTTACATCTATCTATCTATCTATCTATCTATCTATCTATCTATCACAGGTTATTTACATCTATCTATCTATCTATCTATATCTATCTATCTATCTATCTATCACAGGTTATTCACATCTATCTATCTATCTATCTATCTATCACAGGTTATTTACATCTATCTATCTATCTATCTATCTATCGCAGGTTATTCACATCTGTCTGTCTTTATCTATCTATCTATCTATCTATCTATCTATGTATCGCAGGTTATTTACATCTATCTTTCTATCTATCACAGGTTATTTACATCTATCTATCTATCTATCTATCTATCTATCTATCTATCTATCTATCTATCTATCTATCTATCACAGGTTATTTACATCTATCTATCTATCTATCTATCTATCGCAGGTTATTCACATCTGTCTGTCTTTATCTATCTATCTATCTATCTATCTATCTATCTATCTATCTATGTATCGCAGGTTATTTACATCTATCTATCTATCTATCTATCTATCTATCTATCTATCTATCTATCTATCTATCTATCTATCTATCACAGGTTATTTACATCTATCTATCTATCTATCTATCTATCTATCTATCTAGTGATTTTCTAAGCCCGGCTTAGATGTGGCACAAGGCCGAAAGTATGGGGCACCAGTGAGGATCAAACTCACTACTAAGTAGTAACTGATCTAGCAAGACAAGCTTGCTAACCATTACACCACGTCGAGGTGCCACTATCTATCTATCTATCTATCTATCTATCTATCTATCTATCTATCTATCTATCTATCTATCTATCCCTGTGTGCGTATCTATCTATCTATCTAAAACTTATTAAGAGGTACAAGGGATAGAAGGAGGTGGAGGGTCATGATCCTCTATGTCCGTCATAAAGAAGAACTTCTTGAGTCTTAGCGACTTT